TAGTGTGGAGTTGTCGGCCGAAGAACGACGTCTCGGAGTCCGGCGATCCGGTTAGAAGCTTGATGAGGTCGACACCGCGCACCACAAAGCCACGCACGCTTCAGCACAACAAACTCAAACACTTTCCCGACAGGCAGGGCAGAAGCCAAAAATTAAACGTTCCAAGACTCACGTGCAGGGAGTAACCGCGTCGAGCAGCGACCCGGCCGGGTCCGGGGTTCGACTACTTCCTTTGTTCCCGAACCCCCTTTTATAGGCTTGTCTACCGACCTACCTCCTGTTTCCCCGCCTTTCGGGTCAGTCAACTTCCCAGAAAAACAAAGCTACCCGGCATCGACCCAAATGGCAAAACCTATTACATTTTTCCGACAACCAAACATACGTGCCCATCCATTCCCCCGTACGAGTCCAAAAACCTAAATTATCGCCGATACGTAGGACACGACAACCACGACGGGCGGCAGACTGGGCAAAGCCGCTGCCTTCAAAAAGCGCGCTAGCCAGCGTAAACATTTTTTTTATCCCGGCGGCGCCCCCTCGTGTCAAATCGTCACCATACGCGAGCCAGCACACGCGCCCCTCCGTCCGCGAGGTCAAGACCACAAGCTGTGCGCCGGGATGACCCGCGTTGCCCGTCAACAAAAACCCATCCCGCAAACGAGCAAACCCATTAGGGACTTAGAAAGGAACTACGACGGGACGAACTGAGATTAAAAGCGGCACCGCACTCCCCCTTCCTGACCGTACCAACACTTAAAGGGGCGGTGCAGCGATTTTATGATTAAAAGAATTTGCATCTCGTCATTTTTACGTTGTTTATCGTGTCCCAGAAGATAGAGAAAACACTTCCTTCATCAAAAATGTCGCGATTCCGCTGCATAATCGCAAAGCCAAGTCGAGCTTTTCCCCCCACCTGCAGCCCCAAGTGGCAGCCGAAGGAACTACGGCGGAAAGATTACGTGACCTCGCTCGGCTCTAAGCTGCAGCATAGCGCCCGCTAATGTACGCAGAGAGAGGGAGGGGAAGCGTCCTCCGAGATAGCACACGGGAAGCAACACGGCACTCCGAATGACGTCACTGGGAGTGCGACCAGGTGTGACCCTGAAGACTGGGAGTGAGTTGAGGGGTGCCCGAAATGCCAATCTTGATCTTTTTTTTTACGCAGCAACTAGGACGCGCAAGCGAAATCGGTTTTCTGTTCTTTACTTCAGAAGTGTCAGGGGGCAACTTCCAGACATCTTTGACCGAAGTCCGAAAATCGTTGCATCGCCCCTTTAAAGTGGCCCAAAAAAAAGTTCATAAAAATATTAAAAAAAAATAAAGAAAAAACTAAGTTTGTGACACCCGGTTCCTCCACCCTGTGTTTATTTTGTGCTTTTTCTACTACGAAGCGAGACAATATTCCAGCCGTAGGCACCAGATGTCATTCCCGTCTGCGATTATGAGATTATAGGATCCTAACTGCCGGCAACTAAGTGTCAATTACGTCCGGCTTGTGCATACAGTACATCTTTTGCTATTTAACCGATCATCACTTTACAGCCTGGGTATCTGTTCTTGTAAATGGCAGTATTGCTACATGTTAAACTTCTCTAAAGCGGTAGAGCGAACTCGCATCTCATTATCTTTTAGCTGAATAAACAGTTTGCTTGGCTATGCTTGTTATCCAATCTTTATGTTTTAAATTTAATTTTCTCATGTGGACACAATTTTCTCATATGGACACCTTACATTATCGAGAAAACAAAACATTTCTATAGTACGGAGGTGTCCTTATTAAGGAGACATGATTGTATCATCTTTGGAACTAGTTTGCCACAGCCAGTGTTATCACATGTACTGATTTTTTATGCAGTGCCTCCCTTTCCTTGCCCCTCGTTAGGACAATTGAGAAAGTGACTTTGCGCCACAACGATGAATGACAAGTATTCCAAGTGTCGTCACCTATAGTGGTCATGTGCTATGTGTTCGCAGCATTGCAGGCCGACCATGGAGCACTTTCAAAAGGAACTTTCGCCGTGTGCACTGTATGAGCGTGTACAATACGGGGCACGTACGGTCAGAAGAATTAGGAGAGGGAACATGCGGGCGCGCGTCACTTGGTACAGGCAGAGCAGTCTAGCAAGTGTCACGCATGCGCACTGAGGGGCCCTGGTTTGAAGAGCCGAGGCAGAAGTTTCAGCGGCGGTGTCATCGCCCTGGCGGCTTGTCGCCGAAGCAGAAACGGGGTTAGCTAGCTTTGCTGGTGGCTGGCTTTGTGTAGACCAGGAACGTAGGCTTATAAACTTCGGCAACAAGAATACTACGCGGCTTTGGTGTTTTGGTACGAGCAACACTACGACCACTCACCGCAGAGGTGAAGGCTACGACCACCCATCGCAGAGGTGAAGGCATCGAAGAAGCGCAACCTGTGTACTACGCCGTTGCCGTAACCCAACAGTGCTCATTTGGCAAGGAGAGCTTTCCGCCCAGAGACTTCGCCTGTCACAGAGTGTTATTTCCCGTGTTTCTCTTTGTGTGTTCAGTGGCTGGACGGGCCTCATACAGCAGTTCTTCAGGCTCCAAGGTGACTAAAAGTTGAGGGTGGATGGACTTGCAGCAATCCTCTCGGTTGGTGCGTGTGACAGTACCATTGTACGGCATCATCGGGAGAACACCGTTGTAAGTTAGCAAGTTGTCCAATTTTATGTTCATTATAAATTAAAATTTGAAAAATCTTGTTTAAAAGGATGCTGGACCAAAATCTGAATGTCATAAAATAAGGCCGCGGAATCTTTGAATGGAGCTCTACAAACTCCGAAACATCACTCACGCATTAATATCTCAAACGGATGGCCGTATTTTTGGAAAAGAAGGGCGCAATCAAACAAGAAATGTGACGTCGTACCTCTCCTGGAACACTTTAGAATGAGGGGAAGCGGCCTCGTTTTTCTCATTCTCGCTTCGCTTCACCTGCTTGAGGGGATGAAGCCTAGAGGAGAGGGAATGAGAATCGCGACGTTACATGTCTCGTCGCCCTTGTTGAATCCCACACGTTTCCGAAAATACGGCCATTCGTTAGAAATAATGCTCTAAGAGTGATGTTTTGGGGGTTTTACAGCGTCCCGCCTATCGCTCCAGTCTTGTTTTGCGAGCTTCAAATTTCGGTTAAGCATACCTTTTAGTATGAATAATTGTGTCAACAGAATGTTAGAACATATCAGTTCTACACAGCTACTTTCAAACATTTTTGAGTGGTATCGCCTGCCAGATGCAAAGGGGGGGGGGGGGGGGGGGGCAACATGTATATGTTTTTATCTCTGCAGCACAAATTGTTCCTATCATACACTGTAAATAGCTGTCAATCGACAGACTAGGTAAAAGAGTGAGCACTAACAAGTCCAAGTACCAACAATGCCGTCCATGGCGAATCTCGGACACCATTTCTTACGTTATGTGGCCTTAGCGGTCTTTGTATAGCTCTTCTCATTGTTGCCGGTTGAGCAGCTACCGATAGTGGGGTTTCAAGGGCGTCAACTTTGAAATGCAGTTTCTTCACATAATGTTTCATTTTGGGAAGTTTCTACACATATACCTTAAAGTCGTTATTGTACGGATGAAACATCTTTATAAAGGTGTCTATAAAAACATTGGCAGGGTTCGCTTTAAGGTGCCTGCCTGACTTACAACAAGGCTGTCCAACTTGGGAAATTTCACTGGTGGGAAGCTTATTTTTATATCAGAATGGTGTACTTCTTCACAGCGCTGTATGTATGCAACAGAAACTCGAGATGGGTTCAATAAAAGTAGCATATGCTAATTATGTGTTCTCTGTGTATCTGATGCACTAGGTTGTATTTGTTCTGAACGCTTGCTACGTTTAGGCTATACAAAATAGTCTAAATTTTATGAGCATTCAAAACCAGTGCAACTTAAATCCGACAAGCGTAATGGAACAGAAGTGCCCGGTGTGAATAAAAGATTCCAGAAAATACGCACTAAAATAAATTGCAACTTGGGGTAGTAAAATTGGTGTTTTCCAGTCGGCTTTCATTATTTCAAACTCCAGGGCCCGTTTCCTCGAAGTGCCAACCGCGGCTAAAGTTAGCCGCAGTACCTAGGAGAGGGATTTTGAAATTACGTGACTGGGCTCGGTAGGGATGCGGGGAAACATGGCGGTGCCCCGGTGAGTGAGCGCCGCTCCCTTTGAAACTAATATGTCGTTGTAGCTGCAATATCGGGCGCGTTAGTCACCAACGAATGGTGCCGGAGGCTTTCGCTTTGCCTTACCTCACTTGAATTGCAAAGCATGAGAAATGACCTTGGCGCATCTTTTAGATAGTCTTTCGATTCTGGCCATTCCTAAGCCAAAATGAACACGGTAATTGTCGGCTTGAAAACGTCCTTGGGAAGCGGATTGTCTTTACTCAATCGGTCGGGTATTGATAGCACACAAAAGCAGAGAGCATCCCAATAGACCTTTTTCTATATTACCCAAGCATCGAGAAGAACGCTGGAAGTGTAATTCTACGGCCCGCGCGCACAGGCCTTCCCCTTATAAAAGATTCGAAGTAAATAATCATAATAAAAATTTGACGAACGCGCGTGCAAGACAAATTTTGTTTTAGACTTTTTACTTTAGAACAGTTACTACTGCAGACGCCAGCACGTGCAACGCGTGTAACTACACTAGTAGCATGCACCTCGGTGCTTGAGAAATTTAGAGAAAGGTCTATTGTGGTCTATTGGGACGTATTCAGACTCATCGTGCGAATACGCCCATTCACACGATGAGTCTGACCCGCCAAATGTGTGACGTATTGACTCGCGGAAATAGTTCTGAAATTGCCCATAGCACGGCGCTACAAATAAAGCTAGCCAATCAGTATCGTCCATTCGCTGCTACGGCAACAAGCGGCAGCGCGTATTCCGTTGCCATAGCAGCGGAGTGCGCGGTGCCAGGTCTCCCGCCAGAACCCCGCAGGAAAGCGAACTAAAACTGAACTCCTTCGCGTTGCGTTATGTCTGTACAGAAACGCAAAACTGCAGCAGCAGCTGTGCTAGTGCTTCTGCTTTGCGAGGACGAAAGCCTTCCCAAGAAAACGCGACCTTGTGTCAAGCCGTATATTCAGAAGCGCGAGCAGACCGGAGCGCACGATTCGCTCACACGGGACCTCCTGAAAGACCCGAACGAGTTCCGCCGGTACCTGCGGATGACGCCCGAAGTTTTCCAGCGTCTTGCTGATGGAATTCGGGCCGATGTCCAAAAGCAAGACACCGTCATGAGGGCGGCGATTTCCGCGAAGGAGCGGCTCGAGATGACGCTCCGTTTCCTCACAAGTGGTAAGTTTTGTGCTCATTGGTTTCAGAGTGTTTACTTTATTAGGTAAGGAAAAAATTAATTTAGACGATGGCGGATTGGAAGAAATGTGGAGCCAAATCATAAAACAAAAAAATCTGTGCTGTCAAAAGAGCAGAAATAATTTATCAGATTGTAAGCAACGCTTGAGCTCAAACTTGTACTAATTTACGAAGTGTTTGCTATTCGACTCGATGGGTAGCACACTTTTTTTCCGAGGTTTTTTAATATTAGAAAAATACAAATAATGCCTGTAAGATTCTCCGGTTTGTTGTTCAAGCTTCACTACTTTGCACCAGCGTGCTGGGGTGAAGCTTCGATCACCACCATACTAGGAGAAACTGCCAACAATCAAGTATCTCGCTTGGGTCGATGGTCTCTTATACTTTGCTTGTATTCGAATAGCAGTCATAAAGGTGATAAGAATGTTTAGAATATTTGAATAAATAAGAGCCACTTTTTCGTGATGATTGTCTTCTGCTCAACTGCTTGATATTAGACTAGATAACAGAAAGTATAAAACAGGAAGAAAACAGTTATCTAGTACATCGTACCAACACGCTCGTTAGGAATATAACTTGATATTGTTGTTCTATTTGTTTTCGTTTTTATTTTCTAGGAGATTCTCTCAGGTCTTTACATTACCAGTACTTGCCAGGACACAGCACTGTGCACAGCATTGTGTACAGCACGTGCGCTGCACTGTACAACTACCTGAGACAGCAGTATGTGATATTCATCCTTTATTAACAAAATTGTTGGGTTTGCTGCTGCACGATAATATTAACATATCTGAGTACTAGCTGATTATCATCCTTTTCTTTTCAGACACATAGTTCTGCCAAAAGCTTCTTCCGAGTGGAGAGGTGTGGCTCGAAGGTTCGAGGAAATATGGAATTATCCGCACTGCCTTCAAGCGATTCATGGAAAGCACATCAATATGTTTGCCCCACCAAACACTGGATCTGAATATTTTAACTACATCGGAAATTTCAGCTTGGTGTTGCTCGCTGTGGTGGACGCAGACCTGAAGGTATTTCCTTGTCATCGCATGCAAACATAGACCAGGGGTCTCAAACTGATTTGAGTGCGGGTGCAAGATAGCCCATTCCGAAGATGTTGACGGCCAACATAGGGGGGGGGGGGTATTTAATATTTTAGGAAAAAAAACAGCAATGGTGTTTCACGTTGTATAACGGTCGAGTCTTTCAGCGACACCCAGAGATTTCCCAAAACAACAATCTAATAGGTATTTGCTTTTTTTTTTAAATAGCCTTTTGCCAGTGTTGTTTCTAGCTATAATTTCTTCATGCAACCACTTTCATACTAGCGTGATTCCAAGATTTAAAATACCACCATCCCACCAACATGCTAGAATGTTTTCAATAACTAGAAAACAGGCACAAAATCGTTACTCTGTCAATCAATTCACTGAGGAATTTTCAAAGTCCAAATCCCAAAAGATCTTGTCATACGGTAGTTCTTGCTTTCCTGGCGCATTTTATAGCAGAATTATGTAAGAAAATACTTGTGTCTTCAAAGCATGCAAGACAAAATGTAATTATTTATGATGCATCCAGTGCTGAAGGCATAGGAACGGGAGCTCGCAGCCCAGAGAGGTGCGGGCCGCATGTTTGAAACCCTTGATATAGACCTTCTAGGAATTGTAGTGTTATTTGAAGGTTCAAATAACTTTTGGTGTACTCAGGGCAGTAAATATAATCTTTTTTCAGACAATATCACTTTCACACATCCTGCACTGCACAAGGTATACGGGTCCTGTACCTTCTGCTTGGAACCATCCTCCTCCTATTTAAGCACATCTGCAACCTCATTCTTGGTACCTCTATTTGTGATATCCTCCTTGTGCGGTCTCAACCATAACTGCCTCTTTCAGTGGTCACCCGTGATCCTAAAGGTGGTAGAGCAGTACCGGTTTCGTTAACTTGCTCTGCAGCCAGAAAAGCAAGCTTTTCACAATGTGAGGATGTCATAAAAATACCAACCTTGGTATCTGTAATCTTCTCTGACAGTAGTTCAAGCAACTGCCAGAAGTTTGACAAGGAAGCGAGACCGAGTTTTCTAACAAGTCTATATGTTGTCTTCACAAAACAAGCATTGGTATCTGTTTCTAGAAATGTGGCCCTCTTGGTTCAGCTTACAAAAATTTGTAAAATTATTGACTGACTGAACGGTATGTTCCCTATATCTGGCTTTGCTTGTTCTTTTTCCCAGGCCATATATGTAGATGTCGGAACGAGTGGAAAGACGTACGACTCCACCACGTTCAAGAAGAGTGCATTCTAGAAAGGGCTGGTTGAGAATTCTTTCAACCTCCCTACTCCTGAGCCTCTGCCAGGTGATCTGTTTAATTCTTACGTAATACTCCTTTAGCAGTTTACCTTCCACTTTGTAAATCGGAATAATTCACTATACATTTTTCAGGTGCGCAATGCGCCCAGCCTTTTGTTTTCGTGCCATATGCCGCGTTCCCAATCGGCGAAAACTTGTTGCGTCCCTACCCTGGGCAGGCGAAATAACCTGAGAAAATCTACAACTACAGGTACCGTGTAAAAATGGTTTTCTCTAGGTTAGAGCAAGAGTGCTCTAGGTGATTCACAATGGTATCAACACTGAAGTGAGTATAATTTGTACGCAGGCATTCCAGGGCACGTAGAGTTTCAGAAAACTTCTTTGGAGTGCTCGCCCAAAGATTCCGGATCCTCCTGAGACCCATCCAGGCTCTCCCCCAAAAATGTCACCACCCTAGTCCTGGCCTGTTGCGGGCTCCACTACATGCTTAGAGATAAAGGTGTTGACACCGGCATGAAACCGGAGAAAGCGTCGGATGTGAGTGCGTTCTCACCCTTGCCAAACCACGGCGTCCACCCATCAATCTCAGCCAACAATTTTCTGGAAAGAATTTTGTAGGCATTTTAACCAGGAGGGAGCCGTGGACTGGTAGCTTGACTATATCAATGAGCACTAAGGCCAGGCCCTAGTAGGGCACGCACGAGCGTGTACGTATGCTATCCGCTCCAATTGAAATGCGAACAGCGAAATGCATGTTTCGATACATGCTGTGTCACCTGGTGAGCTGGTGGGTACTCATGAAAATGTGCAGTAGATCCCGATCTCTATTGCACTTGTTTATGAGTTCCCTGGAGCCCTTTATGTTGCACAGCATTCATTGAAAACCACACGCTTCTCTCTTCGCATTTCGTTAGATTGGGCTAGTACACTGTGCCCCTGTTTGCCCTTGAATCGTATTTTTATTGTTTCTTGCATTGGTAAAGTTTCGCTGTAGCCTGGAAAATGAAAGATATATGTAAATTTGGAAGTTATAGTTACTTCAATAAGTTGTGCAATTTTCCTGCAAGGCATAGGTGCGGCCAAGTTTTGCTGTTTATATATAGGGCGGTACAGGCGGATCCGACACTATTAGACAAGTTGCAAAAAATTGCCGCCTGCACATGGAACTTTCCCTGAATGTGTACTGAGCAGGTAAACTTTATCATGTGAAATTTCAAGTCATTGTTCTTTCCCTGTAAAAATTGAGAGCAACGAGCTTGCCGAAGCATCGTCTGCTCATTGCTTCTATCCGGAAATGGCACCACAAGTTAATAGCGTCGAAAACCGATTTGTCTTTGTACACACTTGACGTTGTGTTTCGCAGGCTTGTTGCTTTCATTCTTTACAAGACCAAAACTGTATGCCTTGGAATTTTGCACGGTAAGACTGATGTGCTCAGTCCATTCTGTAAATTTTTGGGCTTTCTACGTGCAGGCGCTAATTTTTCCAAGCCTGTATTACAGCGTCGGGTCTGCTTGTGCCACCCTGTATATTGAAATTTTGATTTAAACCGTGTATGCCGAATGCATCTTCTGAAAATTTGTTTTATCCAAGATAGGTCACTATTTTAAAGTATGACATGTACGGGGAGAGGAGGGGGAGGAGAAAGTGTCAATGTGCGAGTTTGGTGCTGTTTTGTACTTGTGTCTCATTCATATGGATATCTCGTTATATGAACAATCTGGGTAATTATGTTCAGTCTTGTCTCCTTATTGTAGATAACACAGATGAACTTTTACCAAAGAGTAAAAAAACACTGTTGATGAAAATTTTAAATTGCTGCGGGCAGGCGACCATTATTCCAGGAGATTTTAGGGCAAACCCCTGTATAACACCTTATTTAAAATCGATAATAAAACAGCTAGAAATCATGGAATTTGTTCTTAGATGTTTTGAATTAAAGTAGAATCATTGTTCTGAAATATAACTTCTATGATCCTCGCCTTGATAAGGTGCTTCCTATATTCATCAAGGCCGGCAATTGCAGCAACAACTGCAGCACCGAACGATTGGTCACCATCATCTTGTGCTCTGCTGGACAACACTTGCAGCGCCTTCTCAAAGACTTGCTCCCTAATGGGCTGGGTCGGGGTGTTCTTTTTTCGTTTGTACGCCGGTCGTCGCACCTCGGGTGGCGTGCTGGTGTCGTCAACAGTTTCTTCCAGTAGAACCACACAAGGCGATGAGGACGACTCTGACTGTTCAAAAATATAAAATGAATTATTTGACATCATGTGCTACAATACAGAGTAGCTGAGTTCAATAGCAGATTTAACCTGCGGATGGAAAAAAGCTGAATCTAAGATAACGAGTGTGTTTCTAGGCAATAGACCTTCCCGAAAAATCCCTAAATTCCACCTTGCACCACAAAGAGCGAGAAATGGTGGGGCCATTCGGATGGTCACTCGGGCCGAGTTCAACGCTGCGTACATCCTGGAAGTGGCTTAATTCCTTTTCTCTTACCACGGCAAGTTCAGTCTTCAGAACACAATGAAAACGGAACAAACATGTTACAAAGCTAATTCATACGTCTTATTATCGTCCTGTTTTTTTTCGCGTTTCGAAATTGCGAATTGTTAAACAAGCACAAGCAGCTCGTCGTATGTATGGATGCATTGGAGAGACGATGGGAGGTGCTGGATATTTCCAAGTTGGTCTATGGCAGAGGTGCGCAATGTGGGGGCAGCGAGACGACGTCTGGGGGTCGCAGGGGCCTAAGAAAGCCAAGCTGCTGATAGCTTTGATACTGCTCTAAAGGGAGGGATGGAGGGAGGGGGGCGGGGCTGGGTTGCCGGACGGCATGCAAGTATTTTAGGGGTCGCGGGCCTCAAAAGTTTGCACAGCTCTGGTTTATGGTACTGTTTTACATATTCTGCAGAATTTAGTTTGCCCCCAACATTTAAATATAATTTTCATCGCACTATACAGTTACCTAACTGCATTATGCATGATTGTTATCTTAATTAAGTATAAGATAATGTCTATAACTTATTGGGTAAGGTAATACACACCTCCACTGTCAGCTCCTCCAGTGATGAGATGGATGCTTGGAAAGTCTGACTCGTCTTCAAAAACTTAATGTCTTCAAAGAACTCCCGCTTGGAGACGTAGTTGTCCTCCGTCCCCTGGCCAGATTTCTTCGTTGTCACTTGGTCCACTCCTTATTAAAACATGTTCACAAGCAATGGAATTTTGCTTTTGCCTCCCCGACTGTTTCAGGAAAAAGTTTGATTAAGTAAACAAGTGCTATCTTTAGAAATTGGACAGTACTGCCAACATCACACCCACCTGTGCACTTGAGCATGTCTGCAACAATTTCCATAGTTGCATCTCGGAGTGTTTTTTTTTTAAATTCTGGATGACTTGTTTGATAAAGAAAGCCGTTACAGTTATAGGACTGCATTAGCGTGCGTTGTTTGTGCACCGTCCAGTAAAACTGAAAAATATGAATAAAGTGGTTTTGGCAAGTCTGACTCTGTAGATCTTAAATTGAAAGCAACAAGTATTGATAGACTGATTGAAGTCAGCATAGGGGATAAAAACGGAGCATTGCGGTCAATTATTCGTGTCGTAAATTTTTGTTTCTATACGAGTTCAATATTAACACACGAGTGCCAATTTAATAATAGTGGACACTGTTGCGAATACATGCGTGAAACAAAATCCGAAAAGTACGCTGGCCGGCACCGTACGCGCACGCAGCCAAATTATTCCCCAAACCCAGAGGGTGCACATAAAATGCATAGAGAGGCTAAATGCATAACCTAGTTTCTTACGGGCGCTGATATCTAGCCTTCGAATTTACGATGAAAGTGGCTCGAACAGGTTGTATATGCTCCCGCGCTTGTTTCTTAAACAATGCAAACACTTTTGGTTGTTCGATACGTTCATGAAATATGATACTCGCGGGAAAGCACAGCTATAAAAACTGTTTTAAATACTCCGAGCCCCTCTAACTTTTAATCTTTCTGTCACTAGGTTCTTTCAATGCAGTCGGTAAGCATCAAGTCTTACCTTTTCATTAGACGTAGTAGCGACGGTCACGGAGGTGCTGGCGGCGTCCATGGTCGGTTTCGCTTTCATTGGATTGGGCTCGGCTACCGTATCAGCCGCGATGCAGGCTCCACTAACAGCTCGCCCCGCCTCATACGTCCCGTGAACTCGTTTGCAAACGGCCATTGGCGAAGCTTTTAAGGTGATTGACAGCAGTCGGAGAAGTTTCAGCTAAAGATTGCTCCAGAAGCGAGGAGAACACGCCACTTTTTGTGGAGGCGCGCCACTTTTTCGGTCACGTTCAGACAAGAAATCTCTTTCCCGAAACCTAGTTTCGCGACACGAGATTCGCCAACAAGATGCATCATGTGAATAGCCCTTTAGGTCTCATCTAGCGAATAACCTTGAGGTCGAAGCACCACTTTAACAGTTCATTGCTGCGACGATGATTTAGTGTTTAGATTCACACTTGGTAGCCAGGCTGGAACTGGGCGTCGTGGCGACAAAGATTGTACCAGTCATCGGCAGGAAGATGTGGCTTGCATTAAATTTCGACCGAGCTGGCAAACTTCGTTCGTTGAGTGACAAAACAAGCGTCGTCGTCCTGTTCGTCTTCGTGGTCGATACCACACTTGTCGTAGGTATCGTCATCGGGTTCATCATCAAGGTCGTTGTCAAGGGTGGAGTCACGGTTGTCGTTGAAGTCATCGTCTGGATTGTCCTTGGGTCGCTGTCAAAGCCGTAGTCGGAATCGTCTTCCATGTCATATTTCGAGTCGTCACCTGGGAGATCATCAGTGCCGTTATCAGTCTCGTCATCAAGGTTGAAGACTGTCTGTCGTCGAGGCCGTAGTCAGGTTCGTTGTTGACATTGTAGCCGGGGTTGGTCCTTGGAGTCGTTGTCCGTTCCATCATCGGCGTAGAAGTCGTCATCATGTTTTCGTCGAAGTGTGGTAGCCAGGG